AGATGGAAAGGAATATGTGAAACCTTGAATAGTTATGCTCTTGCCATATTATTGTTACTACTATGGAACCTTCCGAGTTCCGATCGACCTTGTATTAGCGATGGGAGGCATGTGGAGGGTTCGGAGTATATGCTGTATGTGTGATGCGTGTATTTGAGGAGGCATATTCACGTGAAAGTTTTGTTTAGGCTGAGTTTGAAAGGAATATAAATACAAATATGTAGATTGCAAAATTTTATATTTTATATTATTTTGTATGTATTTATACTGTTTATATTTACATTTTGTATTTATGCTGTATATATTTTGTATTATTTTGTGATATTAAGAGAAAGAGAGATAAGGGCTCAAGTCAAATAGTTGTAATCGATGGATAATCAAGATTTGCTTGGTGTTAAGAAAGAGATGGTGGGCCCTGTCACTTTGATGTTTGCCCAGACACACACACATGGTGCACATGCAAGAGGGGATGGTGCCTACTTCTAGATGAATCTCCACCTAGCTAGGTGATCCTCTCTTATATTGTGTTTGGTTTGAAATAAAAAGGTAGAGGGTCTCACCGTTTCAAATTATAGTACCTAGCTGCCTTGTTAAGTGATTTTTTTTTCGTGAATATTCCATTCAATATATAACTTCCAATTTCATATCACCCGTTTCGTCCTGAAATTTTTCTTTTTAATCAGGAGTTATTTGCTAATGTGGTTCAATAAAATGTGGATTGTTTCAATCCATTGAGCTCACCATAGAATTCAAATCAGACCCCACAACATAAGATTGCCCCTTATACAGCACATTGCCATACATTTAGAATTTCTCCCAATAATAATACCAAAAATGATGTGGGACGTTGTGGGGGCTGATTTGATCTGGCAACCACGTCGCAGGAATCAAACCACCCCTTGTCAAGGTGTCCTGCATTATGGTTGGATGGTGCGAATACTGCATTATGGTTGGACGGTGCGAAATTCTGTTAAATAAAACTTTGAATAAAATATCTTATAAATTTATTGTGAAATTATACAAAAATGGTCAAATCCATCATAGTGTGGATTGATCCGCAAGATGTACCAAAAAAAACCACAAGATTTAAGCATGAACATAAAATGCGATATGGCCTAGTTGAATCAATGCGACAGTAGTGTGGACTGAATTAAGTCACGCCTTATTAAACACTCTTTACACCGTGGCATGGATCAGAACCAAACAATCCATACTATTTTGGAAACAAGTCATGAACAACCCCTTACTTAGAATTTTAACTCGCATCAATAGGGAATCTGGGTAATTAATTAGTCCATGATTTGAAAGAAAAAAGAAAATAGAAAAAAAAAATATACAAAGAGGAACTTCAGCAGCTCGAACTTATTGAAGTATATATTTCCTTTTTCATGAGCCAGGTCTTTTGTTGGGAATAAGTGGCATATGTCAAATTATGAATTGGATATCTATCAAAGATTAAAATAAACGATATTATCTACAAATCATCATTTTTTTTTGCATTTTTCTTAAAGTTACCATCACTTTTCAAAAAATCAAAACCTCCAAAAGTCATTTTTATTTTCTAAAACTCACATTTCCTTAAAATTTCTGAAAGATCATTATTATTAATCATTAATAGAAGTTGCCCACATAAACATTTAAGTATTTATATGGCTAATTAAACTATCCCTGAATGGCTAGTCAAGCTTATTAAATATTTTTCATGATAAAATTACCCCTAACCCAAGCTAGACCCACATTAGGCCTGTAACAATTGGGGGTAATTTTGTCATAAAAATATTTAATAAGGTTGATTGTTCAGGTGTAGTTTGGTCATGTAAAATAATTAAATGTCTATATGGACAACTTCTATTAATGATCACTAATGGTGATTGTGAGTGTTGAAAACAGTTTACTTTGAGCTGAAAATGGAGTTGCCACCCATAAGTTATGGGTATTTTGGATTAAAATTTGGCAGGATGGGGCTTTTGGACATTCTGAGTTAGTTGGTGAGGTCAGATTGGCCCAACTAGGCCAAGATCGGGAAAATTTGGAAGGGGTGTGATTCAATCAATTTGAAGCTTCAAAATGGAATCTTGGTGCAATAAAGGGGCAAACAAAGATATTTTTGGGCTGAAATTTTACGGTGGGTATTTTAGAATATCTGGGATCTGGTGGTAATGTCCAGTTGGTTCAGGGGGTCAAAATATTAAGAATTTGGGTCAATATGATGATTTGGAACGGAATTTTGGTTTGATGGAAGGGTAAATGGGAGAATATAGAGTTAAATTTTTATGGGCAAGTGTTTTGGTGTATCTTGAATTTAATGGTATGGTCTAATCGATTTGGATATGTTAAAATCAAGGGGATTTAGGTTCCAATTGTTTAGACTAACAATGAACATCGGAATAGAATCTTTGTTTGATGGGAGGGTAAACGGAAGAATTTTGAGTTAAAAATTTACTAGGTAGATATTTTTGGAGGTCTTGAGCCTGATGGTGGTGTCTGATATGAAGATCTAGGTGTAAGACAAGGTTAATTGGGGCCATCAGATTGGTATTGAGAAGATTTAATGGTGGATTTGAAGGCTTTTGGGTTGAAAGTTAGGTTTCTTGGGTTTTTGGGTGTTTTGGAGAGATTGGGAAGGTCTAATTGAGCATTTGGGGTAATTTGGGGTTTCGGGCGACAGACTAAACAAAAAACAGGTATTAACAATGATCTAATAAAAATCTTAAGGGAATGTGAGTTTTGGACAATAAAAATCAAGGACAAGGGGGCTCATAGAGGTTGTGAAAAGTGATGGCAAATTTAAGAAAAATGCAAAAAAAGTCATGATGAATTTTAGATAGTATCCAAAAAAATAACTTGGAAGGTTAATTCCATATACCTTGGTGGTTGTAGCAAAGATTTGTGATCAAATTTCGATTGGAGGAGGGCTTTTTGTAGCACATTTGCGTGATTTTTTTAATCCAGTTATTTAAGACTAAAAGAATCTTGATCAACTAAGAATTAATATTGGTGTAACTCAACTGACATGACTTAATATATAATTGAAATGAAACAAATAATATATAAGAACAGAACTAATCAATTTAAGCAAGAACTGAATTGCCGAGTTAACTCGGATGAGTTCTGTGCTAGTATCAAGTAGTCAAGTAGTGAGAGACCGAATTACGTTGGGCAAGAAAGGACTTTCAAAGCTAAGAAACCAGAACCTATCCAAACCCGAGTGAACTGGCTGACTTCTGAGTTGACTCACTAAGTTTTCAAATGATGATTTAGGTACCAAAGATCACATTATACCATATGTGCAAGATGGGTGTGCTAAGAGTTTGAGGAATGCATAGATAAATGGGTTGTATTGGTGTTTTGAATTCCTCGTGTGATCTTGTTCTATGATCAAATTCAGATAAATTTGAAAGAACACCAAAGGCAAAATTTCATAATGATTTGCGATGGAAATGAATTCATAGAGACAAGTGAAGCAATATTTAGTCTTTTCAAATTTTGAATCTTGCAGTCAGTTGGATCTCGTAGACATTAGATCTCATAGTTACCCGACCTTATGATTTTTATAGGACTCTGGACTCGCTGGTCTTCCAGACTCTCGATTATCTACTATTAGCAGTCACGATAGGTGCGGGATGAGTTACTTACAACTTGTGGGAACCATTCTGTAGGGTTTTTTCTCTTTAGATAGCCTTGTAATCTTGCATGAAAAGTTATCTTGTGTCTTAGAGCCTAAGAAAGAAAACAAGAGGATGCATGAGAGAGGGGAGAGGCTGAACTATTGGTGATGACTGATGAGAGGCTGTAAGTGTACTGGGAGATGGGGGAGGCAAAACTTAGGGCATATTGGGAGCAAGGGGTATTGGTAAAAAAGGGTACAAACAATGTAACTGTAAATCTCCATTGTTGGTACTTGGTGGTGGGTTTATATTCCTTTAATGCCCATGGACGTAAGAGAAAAGCCAAATTATGTAAATCTTTGTATATTTGTTATAAATTCTTTTTGTATATGTTTGGCATCGATGCTGCATATACAACACTGCTGATGTATGGGTTAGAATTAAGCACCGTTTTTTGAAAAATTTGTGTTTTTTTATTTATTTATTTGGAATTGGTGTTGCTAGATAGGACATTTCCTGGAGTAACATCAATTTTTCTATTTGGTACCAATGCTCTAGAAAACGTTTTCAACACTTGTACCTATTATCTAGTGCCACATCACTGCCACCTCACATCCCTGTTGGTAACAATGAGTTGCAGCTCCAGGAAATGTCAAATTCGGCGTTGCTCCAAGCCATGCCTTCCCAATTTCTAAGCATTACTTGGAGTACCGTTTTTTATAAAAAAAAATGGTTCTAAATAAACACCCGTTTCCTAAAACACCATTTTTTCCGATATAACGCTGATGTGGTGCCGTTTTATAGAACAACAGGACGATGCCAAACATACGCCTTATTTTTTTATGTATATACAAATTGATTTATCATACATGCACGCAATGTTGAAAGTATCAATACATCCCAAAATGCTGTATCACACTCTTTACTCTTTAATTTGTTTTTTTATTTCTTTTTAAAAAAATTGGTGAGGGATCGATTTAAGACTTGCATGCCCGAAATGGGTCAAAACCCCAAAAAAGGCTATCTACTGATACCATATATATCGGCGGTTAATGCATGTATTTACATGGTGGATATTCCAGAAAGCAAAAGCAAGCAAGCCTTTCCTTTTTATATTTATATCCACGGTAAAAATAAATAAATAAGAACATTTGCATGATTAGACCAAGGCCATTAATTATATAAACCAAAGACTCGGTCAGCTGCGAGTTAAGCAAGGACTAGACTAGGTAGAAGAAAAGACAAAAGTTGGAAGGGAACAAAGACACGGCACGAGACCACGAACTAAAAAGAAACAAAATAAAAGAAGTAATTCTCTGATAAACATATACCAATACCATACCTATATATACATACAATAACAAAATAAACCCATCCAGCCTTCCTATTCACACCAACAAAAGAAAACGTAAATAGATAAACCCGGTAGTACTTGAACAGTTGAGCGTTCGCCAATAAAAGCTCCTTGGCTAACCCTATTTTCTCTTCTTATCCATTTCTTTTTCCCTACTCCCTTCTAGATCTCCAGAAATACTTCCCACTTCCCATTTCTACTCCTGGGTCCTGCCTGATCTTATAGCTTCATTAAATTCTCTTCACATCCTTCATATATACTTTAATTTGTTCTTCACCTAGTCCGATCAGCCCATCATCAAGTGTAAACAACTCATGAGATAGCTAGCTTTACCGTGTGGAAAGTACAAACCGGTTATACGGAAAGCTTAGAAAGGTGGATCGAAGACATGGGAAGAGACCTTTTCCTTCCGAAGCATCGGAGGAGAAAGAGGAAGCCCACATCTTCCCTGCCTACGCCGCCTCTCGTTCTGAGCAAGACATGTCGGCCATGGTATCTGCCCTCGCCCATGTCATCGGAACTCCCGACGATAAGTCGGATCAGGTGCAAGCAAACCAAATAGTCGTACAGAAGTCTGGCATGAGAGAACAGGACGCATCACAACCTGCTCAGGATCAAGGTACCGCATCATGCATCCATCTTGTTCTAGCTACAGATCCTAGATACCTAATTCTCTCTTGTGAATTAATTATGAAGAACAAAGAAAAGATTTTTTTTTTTGGGGGGTTGGCACTCGGATTACCTAATTACTGCTTCTGGGTCATTTGTCAAAGCCTCGTAATATCTTGTTACATTTTCTGTTTTGTTGTTCAGAAACAAGGTACCAAAAACCCAACTTACCTAGTGTTGCAAGTCCCTATCATATATTATGTTTTACAAGCAAGACTCCTTGGTTTTAGTTGTCAAATCCATCATTTTCTATCTTTTCTTGCATTGTTTTTTCTTTTCCCCTTCTCACTCCTTCTTCTCTCTGAACTTGCAATTGGTGTTAATGGATCTTCATCCCATTTATGAAAAATGGTGGTGTACGAAGAGAAGTGGAAATTAATTGGTATCTGCCATAAAAATAATCACCAACTATCCATTTCTTATCTAAGTATAGTTGATTATTCTATTTTCTATGATCAACTCCAAAATCGAAATGGATCTTTGATTCTAGTTCAGGTTCCCATTGGGCAGATGTCTTTGTGGTTTTATTTATTTTTTGCTTGTCTGACATGATTTCTCTTTTCTCTAGTTTTGTTAACCAAGAATGTAGTTAAAGCTTTGCAACTAATCCCTCTTCATATGTTTTGGTATAGCTAAATTCAAACTTCTCTCTCTACAGTCTTCCATGTTACTTCTAGAAAGGAACTCCCTTTAATTTTGGTCTATATATATATAAATTCTTTTTCTTTAATATCCAATTTAAAGCATTATTTCATTTCTATGTATGACATGTAACAATGTATTTATTATATATACTAAACAAAGATACGCACAACCTGTGAAGGAAACTCAAGTCGAAGACACTACAGAGGAGTAAGACAAAGACCATGGGGTAAGTGGGCAGCCGAGATACGTGACCCAAAAAAGGCAGCTCGAGTATGGCTTGGCACCTTTGACACGGCCGAGGATGCGGCGGTTGCTTATGACCAGGCGGCTCTCAAGTTCAAAGGAACCAAAGCCAAGCTTAATTTCCCTGAGCGAGTTCAAGGGAGGACTGAGTTGAGCTATTTTATAGGCCATCGTGACTCGGCCTCTGCTCGTGTTCCAACTCCAAACCCAGTAGTTTTCCCTCCTAGTCTGTCACAAGAAACGTACCCAGACCTCCTCCACTACGCACAACTACTTTGCAGCAGAGACGAGGATTTACCGCTTGTTACGCCCAATCTCTATGGTCTGGAATCGTTTGGTTCACAGCCTTCATTTTCGTGGGAAATGTCGTCGTCTTCTACATCTTCAACGATGTCTCAAGAACAGCAGGAGCAGCAGCAGCAGCCACCAGAGCTGCCAAGGTTTTCATCGCAGATCAGTGGCTCTTATTCTGGCTCTGAGCAATGGAGGAGCACTCAAACCAGATATCCAAATGATCACCAATGAGAGGAGATACATCATACAAGGGAATTTGGAGTAATTTATTCATCGTCATGTTGTTGTAAGACATTTTTTTTAATTAATTAAGATCTTTCTTAATTTCGACTTTACATGTTTGATCTCATTAAATATAATTGCTGATGGAGAATGAGACCAATAGAGAAGTTCCAAAGGAGGGAATAGTCTAGTAGGGACAGACTGCTGGCAGTGCAATGAAAACTGAGAAGAGAGATAGAATGGATGGTTTTTGATTGTCAACTTCGAACTATATTGCAGTATTGCATGTACCGCGTAAGAGCTATATTAATATTCATGGATGTGCTGTGGGCCTGTGTGTGTTGGTCATAAGTAATAACAGTCTCCTGACCTTATATCTCTGATCGTCCAAGACTTAAGGGGTAGCGTGTAGTAGTGTTCTAACCTTCAATTAACCATGTCAGAATTCAGGAACCTGTGTGAGTTTAATATCTACGTCTACCAAAGGATGGGATGAGCTAGTAGTGAAATAACTTTCTTCCTCGTTTTAATTAGTAGTCAGTAGAGCTCGTTAAGAGTAGGCTTACTAATTGATCAAGAATCAGTAGACAAGCATGTAGGACCCAGTGTTGTTCATGTAAGTCACAACGTGTTTTAAGGTCTGGAGCGAGGTGGGTAGATGGGTCAAATCCAGTCGCACCGATAACTGATCCCCGTCAAACAAATGGACAACCTAAAATTTTCTGATAGTCTTGGCATCAATCCATATACCCATCATCTCGCTTGTTTATGGTGGGCTGTTGGTAGGTCGTCAACCACGACGCATTTAAGAGTTAAGACAGAATTCAAATGTTGCCGTAGTTTGGTCATGAAAGTCGGCTAAGAACTCAGCTTTTCACAGAGAGAGAAGTTCTCATACGAATTTTTAATTTTTTTTTCTTCTGACAAACTCAATAGAATAAGAATTAGCTAGAAAGAGAGGGAAACAGATCAAAAGTCTAAAGAGCCATCAAGCCTTATGAACATATATATTTTTAAACTTTAAAGGGCTCGTCTCTCTGCCAAGTGCCAACTGCCAACCTACTTTGATTCTTTCTTTGTTTTCAACAAGCTGTTCAGGTAATCCGGCTTGGAACTTGGAAGTTTCTCTTACATGCACGGTAGGTAGTGAACCGTGAAAGGCCGATCGAACCGCTAACCAGTTTGAATATGTCCCAACTTAGACCAATGAGCTGGAAGTGGAAGAGTTGGTGTTCCCTGAAAAAGACTCACACCCAACCTGGTCCCAGTTCATGATCGATGTACTCGATGATCGTCTAACTCTATCCATTTATGACAGACGGGTTGCACGGTGCAGTTAAACCGTAGACTAGAGATACGATGTTTGCAGATTTGCTATTGCCTTGTAAAAAAAAAAAATAGAGAGAGAGAGAGGGGGGGGGGGGGAGGGGCATTGTGATTGAGGACGATGATATATTGCAGATACAAACAAAGAATTAAAAGAAAGGTGATAAACCTGTCAATGTATGTGATGACAAGTGGTGTCGGTAGTGCCATGCAAGTTGGTGAGAGGACGAGAATCTAAGGTTGCTTGCTTCGGTTGCTCGTTGCTGTCATCGACCAACAGTAAGAGCAAAGAGAGAGACATAAAGTCTGGAACTCTGGATGGTTCAAATAATGGAGACGATCCAGCAATATATTGCTATTAGCACCACACTCACAGGCCTTTGTTCGGTGGATGTCAAATCATAAAGGACAAAAAATATAAGTAAACAGCGACTTCTATATGTATGCAATGGTTTATGGGGGGCGNGGGGGGGTCCTGTATCGTTAGCACCTTGCCTTATCGAAACAGGCAATACACATTATGATCATTCATTTCCTTTAGGTTAAGTTTCGAAAGAGTAAAATGTAGAGTGCAAAATTTATGTTTGCATACTTCTTAAATTGAGCCTCTTAAGTTAGAAAAAAATACAAATATAAATATATACAATATAAATACATACAAAATATAAGGTTTTATACTGTATATATTTGTATTTGTATTAAGACTCGGCTTTTAGGAGTAAAGGCTGTTTTTGTTTCCTATGCAATTTAAATTATATTAGTATAAATGCATGGGAGTTTAGATGAAAAAAATGTAAATACTTGTGTAATTTTGTTTTGGGTTTTACTTTATTCTGTTTATGTCTTAATTTACTTAATTTGTCCTCTAATCAAACAAAATAAGCTAAAATTTAAAACAAAAATAGGTCAGAATTTACACCCAAATCATTTGCACTGTCATAGTTTTGCATCAATGCAAATTTATTTACATTACAAACAAATACAGCCAAAAATACAAATATGTAGAATACAAAATCTGTAATTTATATTATTTTGTATGCATTTGTACTGCACATATTTGTATTTGTACTCTTTATGCTCAGTTTGGAAAGAGTACAGACACAAATATGTATAGTATAAATAAATACAAAATATAAGGTTTTGCACTCTACATAAACTTATATCTGTGTATTTCTTCTATGTTCATTTTGGAAGGAGTATGAATACAAATAAATACAAAATATAAGGTTTTACACTCTACAAATTTGTATTTGTATTCCTTCCAAATGGAGCCTTAGGCTGTGTTTGGTTGCAATGCAAATAAATTTGCACTAATACAAAACCATGACAGTGCAAATGATTTGCGTGTAAATTCTGACATATTTTTGTTTCAAAGTATAGCTTATTTTGTTTGATTGCAGTACACATGAAGTAAATCAATACATAAAGCATAATAAAGTAAAATCCAAAACAAAATTAAATAAGAATTTGCATTTTTTACGTTTGCATTCCCATGCATTATACTAGTATATATAAATAAATTTGCACTGCAACCAAACACAGCCTTAGGTATGGTTTGGAAAGACTACAAATATAAATATATAGAGTATAAAGTCTTATATTTGTATTATTTTGTATGCATTTATATTATACATATTTGTATTTGTATTCTTTTCAAATTTAACCTAACATTGAGAAAAACCAACCATCCACGGTAAGATGTATTCGGTCCAACTACAGTTATAAAACTATGAAACCAATTTTACTTTGCAAAAACATGATTTTGATGGCACTGCTGATTTTATCAGGGAGGTGGAGACAAACTAAATGCGTTTTCACTTAGCCAAATAGTGGCTTTTGGTTTGAAAGAAAAGTCAGATAAAGAAAATGGAAGAAAAGGTAGGAAAACTTTATACAAGGCTTGCATAGGTTTTTCTTACCTTTTTTTCTTTTTTTTTTTTTTTTTTGAAACACCAAGATTTCATGCCCACACTCTTTACACACAATACAATGCAGAGCACATCTACTTAGCAGTTTGAAAAGAGTGCAATTACAAAAATGTTTGGTATAAATACAAATATATGTTTGATTCATAAAAATGCTTTTTTTAAGATTGGAATCCACTTTTTTTATATTTTAAATTAATAATTTCTTAATATAAAAGTTGGATATAAATTAACTTTAATCTCATTTTGATTGGAAACATGGCTTAGAATCCATAAGTGATATCATTTTCAATACACGAATATTAAACACTTATAAAACAAAACTAGAGTACATATAAATGCATATGTGCACTCTTTCCAAATGGATAGAGCGCTTTCATTTCAAATTTTCAATAGTCATGTGCTCTCACTGTCATGTTCATTACTTAATAAAGAGGCGATCCAATAAGATCGAGCACGCTCATGTTGAGTAAACCATGGGCGATATATATAGTTTATCGATAGTCACTTGGATAATATAAAAAATTCAATTGTGATGTCATGGCTTGGGTGGTTGATGACAAAGCCACGTCACACAATTTCAAATTGAAAGAGAGATTCTTAGTTTTAAAGGGGAAGAAATTGAGTGGCCCCAATGATATATGCCATACATACCCTCCTCATCACCCCACTGGTTGAAAAATCTAACAAGTGAAGAAATTCCTTAATAAGTGTGTCAATCAATATCGGCTTAAGCCAATGTATTATGTATGACAGGACTTGTACAGTTTTACGTAGCATAACCACTCCCCGCATGAACATATCAGGCATGCATAGACTATATTTCAGTTTTTTCGAACTAAACAAAGGAAATCAAGGAGAGCTGCAATGCAATTATTTTTTAGTAGCCTTGTCCTTGTGTAAAACTACCCCTCCATATCGATCTGTCCTTTTTCGTATTTAATAAGGAGCTATGCTCATCCCACTAATAAACGTGTTCGCACCATATGATAATTTGACGGGATCCGGACAAAGTAACCAAATCCTACAAGAGGATACTTGCGGGAGGGAATGGCCATTTCCTCATATTGGGGAATGTTATTCCACCAAAAGTGGAATTTCAATTCTGATCTCATTCAATCAAACAGTTTTAATCGAATGGGGTGTTTTAATTCCGATTTCAAACCCTCATTCCCATCAACCAAATGAATCTTGAGTTTGTCCTTTGAATTTCAACATTTGTTTTCTTAGAAGGTCCTTTGAATTTCAACATAAAAACTCATGCTACTTACTAGAACCATACTCAAGGTGACAATCAGCTGGTGGATAAGGTCTCCACTGGCTGGTCGTAGCGGACACTTGGGATAGAATCCCGTCTTCACATGGGTTACCCCGTTGTATAATACCATTACCCTCAATACATCAAATCTGGATCATCCTTGGTCACAACAAATGGGAAATCATTTTCATGCGTGAATGAATACATGTATTATTAGGTGATAGTTGAGTTGGCTAATAATGTCACATCGAAACCTCCACAGCCATCCTCTCTCTAGCCACATCGACACCACATGTGACGGAACACAGCACTACTAACAAGAAGTGTCATGTACCGACAATCACAAGAGCCCTATCCACTTGGAACACGAACACCCAACTATAAATAGGTATTCCTCGTTGTTGTAAGAGACTCTTGAAAGAACACTCTTTGAATATATCTACACTATCTCCTGGTTGTAGACCTCAGTGCATGGTTTCGTCCTTGTCTACTTGGCAAGATTATCTGATTGTGTTCTCGGTTCGGAACACCTCGAATTAGACAACATCAGATTGGTGCCATCTGTGAGAAACGTACAAAAAGTCATTTCCCAAACACCTTTTTGCG